ATCTTGAGGGATAGCCAACATGGTTTTTAGAAGGAAGGTCATGCCTGACAAACCTTCTGGAATTTTTTGAAGAGGCCACCAAGACTTATGACCAGAGCAGGGCTTATGACATCATATATTTGGATTTTCAGAAGCATTTGACACAGTACTGCATAAGAGACTAATTTTTTAAATGAGCTCCATTGGAGTTACAGGTGGTATTCTGAAGTGGATTCATAACTGGTTGCAGGACAGAACACAAAGAGTGGTGGTCAGTGGTATATCATCTGAGCTAAATAGGGTGGGGGAGTGGCGTCCCCCAGGGATCGGTGTTGGGACCCTTGCTGTTCCTCATCTACATTAATGACCTTGATAGGAATATTGAGAGCAGATTAGTGAAATTTGCAGATGATACTAAATTGGGGGCTTGGCAAATAGTTTAGAGTCCACTAAAGTGATTCAGGATGATTTGGATAGAATTCAGAATTGGGCAGAAATGTGGCAAATGAAATTTAATGTTTAAATGTAAAAGTAGTACATGTAGGTAATAAAAACATTAGACAGGATTACTTCATGGGAGGTTTTAAACTGGAATGTGCTCCACAAGAAAAGATCTGGGAGTGATTGTTGACCAAACCCTCACAGGCTCTAGCCATTGTGCCGTAGCTGTTAAAAAAAATATAATCGGATGCTGGGATACATTGCCAAAAGTATTGAGTTCAAATCCAAGGAGGTGATGCTTCTTTTGTACAACACATTCGTCAGACCACATCTAGAGTATTGTTTTTCTGGGGACCATACTTTAAGAAAGACATAGAGGCTTTAGAGAAAGTTCAGAGAAGAGCCACGAAGCTAATTCCGGGTATTAAAGATGAAAGCTAAAAAAGGCTGAAGATCCTTAATCTCTTTAGTCTTAGGAAAAGGAGACTAAGGGGTGATTTGATTGAGGTCTTTAAATATGTTAAAGGATTAACAAAGTGAATTATGTAGGATTCCTTCAACCAAGTGTTGTTAGCAGAACTCGGGGTCACAAATGGAAGCTGACTAAAGGTAAATTTAGCACTGATATTCGGAAATATTTCTTCACCCAAAGAGTAATTTCGGTTGTGGAACAGCTTGCCTGACCATATTGTTGAGGCAGAGACCTTGGGAGCTTTCAAGAGCAGACTTGACTTAAAGCTAGATACCATTGAGTCATTGAGTATCTGAAGTGATATATTCACGATGGTACAAATGGCGATGTTCTCGCCATTCATGTTATGTTATGTTATGTTATGTTATGTTTAACCTATCATGTGGCAACTTGTTTAAAAGAGCTCCTACAGGGGAGATCTTTTAAACTAGGTGCCACATGATAGGTTTTCAACAGCTTTGATTTTGATATTTTACATCATTGAGCAACAACAACAGCATTTAGCGCTCTAGGGGGTAAATGAAGAGGAAACAATATTCTGCTGAGACATACTTTCAGTGAAATGATACTGATTACACGACAAGCAAATTTTCACACAGTCGAACTGTAATAAATACAAAACTCAATAATTGTGTGACACTGTGATGACAATCGTTCTCGGGTTTTAAATATATATTATTTATTGCTTTATAAAGAATGGACGTCAGTCTGAATAAAGTGATCCAAGGTGCCCTGTTAGAAACTTTTGAATGATACTCTCATTCTGAATTGTTTGACTCTGATGAAGACGTGGCAGCATCAAAACGCATCAGTTTTTTCCTTTTTCAAACTATTAAAAGCTTTTTTGGTATCCGTGTGCCCCAGTATTTTCCCTCTTCCTAGGTGCCCTGGTTCAGTGTATTTATCAAGCCTAAAATTCAGATTTAATGGGCAGTGGAAAACAGGAGTGACATGCGGAACTCTGTATTTCCTCAGTCAAGTAGCTAACTAAAATGTTACTAAAGGTACTACATGGGAAATGAGCATGCACCATCAGATGTGAAGGTATTTTGAAATATGTGTGCAGGACTAGGAAAAGGGGTCACTTTTTTTTCCATTCTGAGATTAACAGGGTATCTCAGTGATATCCCAGTGATAGTGATATCCCAGCACTACTGTACTGTCAATTTACAACACTTTGCTGAGCACAAATTCACCCAATTTTTTTTCTCAAAATGAAAAACTTGGATCACTCTTTGATTTTGTTGGAAAATCTCAATTTTCATAAAATGACCCAAGTGACCTCTTTTCCTAGTCCTGCACACATATTTGCAAATATAATAACCTTATGAGTAGTTGAATTTGAAACTGAATGTTCCTGCAGTCATATAAGGCCTTTTCATTTCAAAGGAGGCTTTTGGCCGATCAGAGGATTTTTTTTTTTTTTTTTTTGGAATTAACAACATTCTCTTAAGTGATACTTTCCCCAGTTCTGTACCTGTAATTGGCTTCCTATCGATATCCAAATAATGTACGGCACTAAGGGAGATGCATTTTGATTTTTTTTTTAAAAAGTGAAAAAATAATGAAGTTAACAAAATTTTATGGGAGTATGATCAAATATGGAGGAGTTAGACTCCAATAAATGTCAGAACTCGTGTAATTTATGAGCCCAGTCTCATCCCAACGCGTCATATAGTGACGCTACCTGATCCAGAGTCAATATACAAGAAACATGGAGGCTTCTGGCATCCTGATTGTTTATTAAAACAAACCCTAACCCTTTACCCGAACCCTAACCCTAAACGTTAAATAATAATGATGCCAAAAGCCTCCTTTTTTTGCCATACATCGACGCTTGGTCAGGTAGCGTCACCATATGACGAGTCTGGATGAGAATGTGTGGCATTTCCCAACATTATTTTTCCACTCATTACAAAAACATCACATTTATTCAGGAGACGTAAAAGTGATACATAGAATAGGGGCACTCTGAAGGTTATAGGAAACAACTACAGGAAACAATTATGGCGCAGTTCCCTTTAAGAACAACTTATCCACAGCCATGAACACCAAGTCTACTTCACATGGTAAATATAGGAGGTCAGTCAGAGTTTCATGTCATAAACTAGAAGCGAGGAATGATTACAATATCTAGTGCGCATGGGAATACATACATGATCATATTCGATACATGGAATGCGAGAGACTCATCACTTGGGGTGTGCTCTTTACGTGAATGATGGTTTGCTTCTCGCAAGAAGTAATTTGTGTTCTCTAACAGAAGAGTACCAGCAGAGATAAGATTTTCAAAAATGTTTGTCAGCATACAAAATGAATGAGGGGTCTCAGTGAGAGCCCTTGATTTGTTAAGTATGTGCTTGCAAGCGTGCATGAATATCCATGACTTGCTAAAAGCGACCGCCTATCGGCTGCTCTGGCCGCCTCTCGCTGCTTAAATTACTGCCAGTTAAGAAAACGAGCTGTTGTCCCATTGAATTAATTAAATGCTCCTGCCGGGTTTTATGGCATAATTGGTTTTCAAGTGTGGGTTTGTGCTTGTGTGTGTGAGGGTGAAAAAGACGTGAGAATGGCTTTGTGTTTGTGTGCGCATGCATATACCTCTCCACACGGTGTGTGTGTATGCATGCATGTATCTATGCATAAACACGTGTGTGTATAATGTGTGTTCATGTGTGCAAATAATATGTATACATGAGAAACCAGACTCCAACAAACCAAATATGGGACAAACAGTACGTATGTGTGAGGAAATGGGAGACATTAGCAATGCTGAAAGGTAGTTCTAAAATACTGATGCAATGTCTAAAACAAACGCTGTGATTCTGTCCCTTGGTTTGGAACATCTCTGTGCTTTGTTCTGAGACAGATTCAGTATCACACAATAGACTCTGTTGGTATGCTGACAGAAATATGTCTAATTTGAACACATTTATTTGAACACGTGGGCAACTTTGCACAGAAACAACTTAATAAAATAGAATGGCAATATCTGAACACAAATGCCTTATTTATTAGATCCATAAAACGGTAAACTGCTAAAGCAGGAGGCATCGCTTTCACTCCCTCATTCCCCTTACCATGGCTCTTTTAACTGCAAATGTACACAACAAAAATAAATATTCATAACAATAAAAATAAAGGTTTGAATATTTTTGTATCACCATAACAAAAGACAATAACTGGATTAACAAAGATAGTAACTGTCCTTAAAGGAGCTGTGTCATAATTACTGTGCATGCTCAGAACTTTTTAAACTTGACGCTCATGACTTCTGGTCGCTTATGGGCGATTTCGCGTTAAAATGACCGGCAGCTCTACCAAACCAGAAGGATGCAGCTTACGTGGTAAATGATTTGGAAACTGCTGCCAAATATTATGTTGAAGTGGCAGACAAAAGCGGATCTCCACTATAACCTTTCATTTCACACACAAATTTTTTTGTTTTTTTTAAAGATTATTTTTTTGGGAATTTTTCCTTTATTTGACAGTTGTACAATGTAGAGAGACAGGAAGGTTGGAGAGAAGAATGGGGGAAGACATGCAGCAAATGACCTGAGCCGAGTCGAACCCAGGTTTAAGGACAAAGCATCATCAGACAAGCCACCGGGCCCCTCACACACAAATTTTGTTAGCTAAGTAGCTAACTAATTAACTCGCTTAATTTAAATAGCATCATCAGACAATTAACCACATTTCTGGCTAAAGTTCCTTACGTAGTTATCGTGGCTACGCTACATGGTAAGCTGCACAGATATCAACAAAAACCTTTTATTTTGCGTTCAATTTTGTTAGCAAAGTCAGCTAGCTACTGGTTTTCTTACTTCAGTTTAAGAAAATCATCAGACAACTAGCCAGCTAACATTCAGATAAGATACACTTTATTGAATCCTGTGGGGGTAATTTGTCCTCTGCATTTAACCCCTCCTATAGTTAGGAGCAGGGGGCAGCCAGAGAACAGCGCCCAACTCCAGTTCTAAAGCCAGTTCCTTGGTCAGGGGTACTGGTTGGAGTGTTCCTATAATGCATGTTTTTCTGGATGGAGGAAACCGAGTACCCGGAGGAAACCCATGGGAATACAGGGACAACAGGCAAACTCCACACAGTACGGCTCCAGTCTGGATTCGAACACATGACCCTGCTGTGAGGCAACAGTGCTAACCACTGCACCACCGTGCCACCCACGATAGCTAAATAGCTATCATGGCTATGCTACATTACAAGAAACCCAGATATCCACAATAACATTTTATTTTACATGCAAATTTTGTTGGTTAAGTATTTATTTGGCTTGCTACTTCATTTGAAACTTCATCAGACGACTAGCCAAATGCTGGACAACGTTAGATACGTAGTTATTGCAGCTATGCTACAGAGCTAGCTATGTAGATATCCATGAGGAAAAGAAGTTTTTCTTCTCTAATGTTTATTTGAGGTTGGCAAACAAGGTTCCATTTTCACATCCCTCTGCAACAGCGCAAAAATAGTGCTTTGAACCCTTGAATGTCTGTACAAAACTCCTTAATATAAGAAGGAAAATGCATGCATAACTAAAATATATAAATATAATGCAAAATAAAGACGGATTGGCGAGGATGGAATGAGATTATAATTTGCAGTCAAGCAGATTCACTTTTTTTGGGATGTAAATTCTGAGCATGCTCAGTAATTGTGAAACAGCTCCATTAACTAAAGCTGTAATAATTCTTGATTATTGCCCCCAAATACAGTAGTGTGCAGAGATGGTTATACACTTAACAAAATGAAGATAAATCAGAAACCAAGGACAATTAAAATATTTATTTCATGTAATGTTGGATCATACAGATGAAAATAATTAAACAGATAACAATGTATCATAAAAACAAAAATAATCATGTGTTTTTGGGAGAAAAAAGTCAATATCTTGTGTGGCCACCCTTTGCTTTGATTACAGCATTTAATCTTTCAGGCATAGTTTTCACATTTTTTTTATTTCCTCACTTGCTAAACCATTCCATAAGGTTTGAAGTTTGCTCCAAAGAGATTCTTTCGAATTTAAAACAATTTTGTTCAATCGGATTTTGGTCTGGATTTTGAGCAGGCCAAGTCATAACTTTTACGTCACCAGACGTTTCTTTCCGACAGAGAATTCTTGCACAACTAAGAAGTTTGTTGAGGGTATCATCTTGTTGAAAATAAAATCCCTGACCAATCAGTCTCCTTCTACATGTAGATGGCAATGCGTGCCTCACAGGGATGCTGTGATACTTCTTTTGATCCATGATTCTGTTAATCCATGATTAATTTTTATGAGATCTCCGGCTCCTTTCGAGCAGACTGAACTCCATACCTGAATATTACCACCTCCATTTTTTACTGAAGGGGTTAAAGCCATTTTTGAAACGTTTTCCAACTCTACAGTGCACGTAAGTTCTGCATTTGGGTAAGAATTTCAAATTTTGATTCATCCATCCAAAGGACTTGTTCCCAGTCCATTTGTGTCCAATCTGTGAATTTCTTGGCAAAATCAAGTGTTTTTTTTTTTTTTTTTGATGTTTCCAGGTCTTGGCAGCAACACGACCAATCAGACCATTTTCACACAGGACTCTGGAAATAGTAGATCTTGATACCTTATTTTCTTAATTTCTGGCGCTATGAATATCATCAAGGAGTTGTGCTGTCAACCGCTGTTTTTTTTTTTTTTTTTTGTTATACACCAATAATGAACAACAGAGGCACATAACGTCCGTTTTGCTCCGCTACTATCACTGTTTTTCAGCGAACTGGTCTCTTTGAAATGCTTGATGGTGATTCTCACTGTGCCATGGCAGCATTTCACGTCTTCAGCATCCTGTTAGGCCGCAATGCAGCTACGAACTATCTCAGAGAGCTCCTTCCGTCATGCCGTTGTGTCACCGTATACACTGGGACAACTGACCATCAGAGGTAATTTTACAGAACAATATTGCCTCAAACCAGTTTAAACAATTTTTAGAATCAGTAATCACAGAATTAGCCTTCAAACATGCAATCAGGCGATGCAAGAGTCAAAAAAAATAAAATTTGCAGCTCCTTTCAATTGTTATGAAAAATTGATGTTTTTAGTGTTCTTTTTATACCCATACTTTTACCTCAATTTACTTGTGGGGATTTTTTTTTTTGTTTTCATTGGCTCCAAAAGTATTTTTCAATATATTTCCACCAAAAATTATACAGAAGTAATATATTTGGAGCCCTTTTCGATGAAAGTGGTGGTGAATAATCATCACTGCACACCTCTAAGGGTTGTGCTCTGAGCACCAGCATTTTCCTCTCATAAGCTATTTTCAGAGGTAATTTTGGATCATGCCAATTTGAAGGCGCCTCCCTCCCAGAATAGCTCATCCCATGACTTCACAACTGTAGGGGGAAAAAAAAAACTGACAGTTTATTCTTCCTGAGTATGATAAATTCATGCATACTGGATCTATAAAATTCTAGGCGATGAAGATTTGATAGTTTTATATTAGCTAGCTATGAGGAGTGCACCTTCAAATTCACATGATCTGTAATTTTATCTTTCAACCTGCACCTGTAAGGTCAGTAAACCCCATGAGGCATGTGAAGCCAGTCAACAATTCTCGTGTTTGGTGGGCAATACTCACTGAAGCAGGCAGCTGAGGACCCGTGTGATCTGTGTTTCTTAAACCATAAACTCTGATATACTCGTCCTTTTGAGCAGTTGTGCATCTCGGCCATCAGCCTCTTTCCATCTTGACCAGATTCCGTTTGTGCTCTTCTTTCAAGACAGTACTGTACCTCTTTATATAAAATCTTCGCTTTCATGGTACATGTGTACAATAGTCATCATGTCTCAAAACAACTGACATTTTCAATATACACTTAACAAAAAATAAATATAAACGCAACAGTCCTGTGAATACAGTCCTGTGAAACAGTCCTTTAGTCCTGTGAATATTCTGCATGATTATTTCTGAGGTTGGCTTAGTTGGGTTTATTTATGTGACTAAGGCTGTGTGCCACAGGTCTGTGTGCATTTCAGTCACCTTCTCCATATCACTGTCAAGTTCATGCCCTTTGTCAAAACTGGCCTGTCAGACAGGTGGGGCCTGATCCAGAGCTGCTGAAATCAGGTACAGTCAGCCCAGGCACATCCTGCACTCTGGTCAATAAAAGGCCACCTCAGGAGTCGCAGTTCTGCCATTGTTCAAAATGCCATAAATGACTTGAGCCATCAGGGAGCGTGCCATTGGCATGTTCAATGCAGGAATGTTTCTCAGGGATGATGAAAGGGCTCTTAATGTCCATGTTTCAACAAAAGTCGCAAAAAACACCTTTTTGAGGAATGAGGAGAGACAGCACACTGCCCACATGCATGACGACCATGTGTGACAACCCCCGCCCAAGACCGCCATATCTGGATTCTCCATCTCTGTGACCGTCTGAGACCAGTAACTGCCACTGCAGATGAGACAGCTGGTCCCCACCATCCCCACATTTTTACCAAAAAATAATCTCCAGGAAGTCCATATCTCTGCGTGTTTTGCTCTTTGTGGATTGGACCTGTCCTCAGCTCGATGAAAAAATGGTTCGACTGAGGAATAGACACATTTAATGGCCAATGGCACAATGGGGGACTGTTTTCCTTAGAGACGAGTCACGTCTCCAACTTCACAGAGCGGATGGAAGGGGGATCGTTATGCTGACATCGTGGTGGTGCGCAAGATGGCACATGGTGGTGGAGTGCTGGTTTGGGTGGGAATATTCCAAGGACATTGCACCCAACTGCAGTTCATTAACAGCAACTTGAATGCAGTGTGATTTAACGATGAGATGCTGCTGCCTATCGTCCTACCATTCGTCCACCAATACAATAACCATCCAGCATGACCATGCCAGACCCTCGTCACCCGTGCGCACTGAGATCCTTGAGCCAGAAAACATTCGTGTCCTTGAATGGCTGGCTTATTCCTCGGATTTGTCCCCCTTCCAGCATCTTTGGGATGTCCTCAACCAAAGAGTTCGTCATTGGTTCCCATTTTTGGCCAATAGCCACCAACTCCACACAGCTCTTGAAGAGTCACCACTGACCATTTGTTACAGTCCACACAGCAGAGATGTGTAGCAGTGCAGCAGGCCAAAGATGGACATACCCAATATTGATTTGTGAAATTTGGACTACGGACCCCATCCCTTTATCATCACGCCATCGTGAGATTCTTGTTTGTCTGTTTAAATCATTGATCAAAATGTATTGCAATACGGTCATACAATCTATCAACGCTCAATGAAAATACAATGAGCTTCTGAACATGGTCATATTTCTCACAATAAGAAGTGTTGCGTTTATACTTTTGTTCAGTGTACATTTTTTTTTTTTATTTTACTTCTGTCTTGGGGGGTGAAAGTATCAATTCCTTTCAAAGCCATATACTGTATGTTTCTCATGATACCAAATTATGACCGGGGCAGTATGTAAACAGCATGATTATGACCGGGGCAGTATGTAAACAGCCTGATTATGACCAGGGCAGTATGTAAACAGCCTGATTATGACCAGGGCAGTATGTAAACAGCCTGATTATGACCGGGCAGTATGTAAACAGCATGATTATGACCGGGGCAGTATGTAAACAGCCTGATTATGACCAGGGCAGTATGTAAACAGCATGATTATGACCGGGGCAGTATGTAAACAGCCTGATTATGACCAGGGCAGTATGTAAACAGCCTGATTATGACCGGGGCAGTATGTAAACAGCATGATTATGACCGGGGCAGTATGTAAACAGCCTGATTATGACCGGGGCAGTATGTAAACAGCATGATTATGACCGGGGCAGTATGTAAACAGCATGATTATGATCGGGGCAGTATGTAAACAGCATGATTATGACCGGGGCCATATGTAAACAGCCTGATTATCACCAGGGCAGTATGAAACAGCCTGATTATGACCGGGGCAGTATGTAAACAGCATGATTATGACCGGGGCAGTATGTAAACAGCCTGATTATGACCAGGGCAGTATGTAAACAGCATGTGAGCGTGAAGCACAGGCTGCTCAATGCATGCTCTGCTAGTGGAGCACATTTTGAATTGAAGTAAATTCTGTAAATTTATCTGCACATGCGCTTATGGATCGCAGCCGGGGCTGTCGGCACCTGTCTCTGATAACATACACAGCACTGACATGA